GACTGTTCCACTCATCAACTACCCTATTTCCAAACCAGTACTTTCCTATATCCTTTCTAAATCTAAACTTGTCTAATTTGAATCCATTACTCCGGGTTCTCTCTTGGAGAGATATCCTCAAGACCTTATTCATATCCCCTTTATTAATACCCATCTTCCACTTATTCACTTTGACCATGTCTCCCCTCATTCTTTGTCTAACAAGTGAATGTAATTTAAGGGCATATGCCTTTTCTAAATCCATAAATGCAATAAAAACTTCCCTACCTTTATCTAAATACTGTTCACATATATGCTTCAATGTAAACACTTGATCTACACATCCCCTACCCACTCTAAAACCTCCTTGCTCATCCACAATTCTATATTCTGTCTTGCCTCTAATTCTTTCAATGATAACCCTACCGTACACTTTTCCTGGTATACTCAGTAAACTTATTCCTCTATAATTTTTACAATCTCTTTTGTCTCCTTTCCCTTTATATAAAGGGACTATACATGCTCTCTGCCAATCCCTAGGTACCTTCCCCTCTTTCATACATTTTTTTTTTTTTCAACAAGTCGGCCGTCTCCCACCGAGGCAGGGTGACCCAAAAAAGAAAGAAAATCCCCAAAAAGAAAATACTTCATCATCATTCAACACTTTCACCACACTCACACATTATCACTGCTTTTGCAGAGATGCTGAGAATACAACAGTTTAGAAGCATATACGTATAAAGATACACAACATATCCCTCCAAACTGCCAATATCCCAAACCCCTCCTTTAAAGTGCAGGCATTGTACTTCCCATTTCCAGGACTCAAGTCCGACTATATGAAAATAACCGGTTTCCCTGAATCCCTTCACTAAATATTACCCTGCTCACACTCCAACAGATTGTCAGGTCCCAAGTATCATTCGTCTCCATTCACTCCTATCTAACACGCTCGTGCACGCTTGCTGGAAGTCCAAGCCCCTTGCCCACAAAACCTCCTTTACCCCCTCTTTCCAACCCTTTCGAGGACGACCCCTACCCCTCCTTCCTTCCCCTATAGATTTATATGCTTTCCATGTCATTCTACTTTGATCCATTCTCTCTAAATGACCAAACCACCTCAACAACCCCTCTTCTGCCCTCTGACTAATGCTTTTATTAACTCCACACCTTCTCCTAATTTCCACACTCCGAATTTTCTGCATAATATTTACACCACACATTGCCCTTAGACAGGACATCTCCACTGCCTCCAATCGTCTCCTCGCTGCTGCATTTACCACCCAAGCTTCACATCCATATTAGAGTGTTGGTACTACTATACTTTCATACATTCCCTTCTTTGCCTCCATAGTTAACGTTTTTTGACTCCACATATACCTCAACACACCACTCACCTTTTTTCCCTCATCAATTCTATGATTAACCTCATCCTTCATAAACCCATCCGCCGACACGTCAACTCCCAAGTATCTGAAAACATTCACTTCTTCCATACTCCTCCTCCCCAATTTGATATCCAATTTTTCTTTATCTAAATCATTTGATACCCTTATCACCTTACTCTTTTCTATGTTCACATTCAAACTTTCTACCTTTACACACATTCTCAAACTCATCCACTAACCTTTGCAATTTTTCTTTAGAATCTCCCATAAGCACAGTATCATCAGCAAAAAGTAACTGTGTCAGTTCCCATTTTGAATTTGATTCCCCATAATTTAATCCCACCCCTCTCCCGAACACCCTAGCATTTACTTCTTTTACAACCCCATCTATAAATATATTAAACAGCCATGGTGACATTACACATCCCTGTCTAAGACCTACTTTTACCTGGAAGTATTCTCCCTCTCTTCTACACACCCTAACCTGAGCCTCACTATCATCATAAAAGCTCTTTACAGCATTTAGTAACTTACCACCTGTTCCATATACTTGCAACATCTGCCACATTGCTCCTCTATCCACTCTATCATATGCCTTTTCTATATCCATAAATGCAATAAAAACTTCCCTACCTTTATCTAAATACTGTTCACATATATGCTTCAATGTAAACACTTGATCTACACATCCCCTACCCACTCTGAAGCCTCCCTGCTCATCCGCAATCCTACATTCTGTCTTGCCTCTAATTCTTTCAATTATAACCCTACCGTATACTTTTCCTGGTATACTCAGTAAACTTATTCCTCTATAATTTTTACAATCTCTTTTGTCCCCTTTCTCTTTATATAAAGGGACTATACATGCTCTCTGCCAATCCCTGGGTACCTTCCCCTCTTTCATACATTTATTAAACAAAAGTACCAACCACTCCAACACTATATCCCCCCCTGCTTTTAACATTTCTGTCATGATCCCATCAGTTCCAGCTGCTTTACCCCCTTTCATTCTACGTAATGCCTCACGTACCTCCACCACACTTACATTCTGCTCTTCTTCACTCCTAAAAGATGTGTACCTCCCTGGCCAGTGCATGAAATTACCGCCTCCCTTTCTTCCTCAACATTTAAAAGTTCCTCAATATATTCTCGCCATCTACCTAGTACCTCCCTCTCCCCATCTACTAACTCCCCTACTCTGTTTTTAACTGACAAATCCATACTTTCCCTAGGCTTTCTTAACTTGTTTAACTCACTCCAAAATTTTTTCTTATTTTCATTAAAATTTCATACATTTATTAAACAAAAATACCAACCACTCCAACACTATATCCCCCCCTGCTTTTAACATTTCTGTCATGATCCTGTCAGTTCCAGCTACTTTACCCCCTTTCATTCTACGTAATGCCTTACACACCTCCCCCACACTCACATCCTGCTCTTCTTCACTCCTAAAAGATGGTATACCTCCCTGGCCAGTGCATGAAATTACTGCCTCCGTTTCTTCATTGACAGTTAAAAGCTCCTCAAAATATTCTCACCATCTAAGCAGTACCTCTGTCTCCCAATCTACTAACTCCCCTACTCTGTTTTATATACGTATTTAAAGTTTCTCAGTTTTTGGTCTTCTTGTAGACCATTCCATTGTAGACCATTAATTTGTGTTGTTTAAAGTTAGTACTGTATTTTTTATAATTCTGATTTAGATGGTTTGCATTTTTGAGTGTATAGTATAGGGTATGCAGGTAAGAGCTAGATGTATAATAGCTGATCCTTGAGAGTATGCCTATAGGTTTTGATACTTTTTTTGCAATGAATGTGTTGGGTTTGAGTATTGAATATATGTCGTGATGTTAACCTAAAATTTTACCTTTATTTTTTTATTGACTTTATTGTTTATTTTTATTCTTATTTGGTTAGCTGTGTTAGCCAGTCTTATCTAGACAGGTTTGTTGGCTATCACCCAAGTGTAGATAGTTTTTAGTTCATTATGTGCTTTTTTTAAGGCAGTTAGGCCAGGACTTGAGATAATAAAAGTAGCATTATCAGCAGAGTGTTTGAGTTGTTGGAAGGCATTTGGTAGGTTATTATTGTAAGGAAAAGACATAATGTTATGCTTTCTGTAGACCTAGGAAGAAGAGAGCTTTCCAGATATCTTCATCAGAGAGTGAGGATGGGAAGAAGAGAAAGAGAAAGAAGGCCTCCTCGTCAGAATCAGACAGGTACGTGATTCAATATGTTAAAAAATTTTCTTTACTTGAAAATTTAATGAGTTGAATAATTTGCTAGTAAAGTTAGTCATATTCTACTACCATATTTATTTTATTTAAAAATACTGTATTCTTGGAGTGTGTGATTTATAGAATTTTTTGAAATAGAAAGTGGACATTATACAAACAATTATGTAGTGACTGGCAAGTAGCTGAGGAACTACAAATGGGAAATACATATAATATAGTCTGTAACCCATAACGTATAAACCAATCACAGAATTTTGTTGAAAATTTGGGTCATTATAAAGATGATCTCTTTGCTGCAGCAAGACTGTGTAGCTAAGTTCTGGTTTCCATACTACAGAACAGATATAAATGCATTGTGGACCATACAGAGAAGGATGACGAACTTAGTCCATTGTATAAGGAATTTTGCATTTGAATTAGAATGCGAGTATTGAACGTACATTCTCCTGAAAAATGTAGAATGAGGAGAGAGAACATTGAATTATACAAGTGAAAGACAGGTTTAAATAAGGCAGTACTCAAACAAGAAAGAATTTGAAACAGTAGATCCTATTTCAATAAGTTCAAATTTAGAAAGGATGTAGGAAAGCACTGGCTCAGTAATTGAATTGTTGGTGAGTGAAACAGTCTGCCAAGTAATGTCATCAAAGTTAGCATAATTGGGTTGCTTTAAAAATAGATTGGACAGGTATTTGTGCGAGTGGGTTGGATATGAGAAAAACCTATCTAGCACGGGCCTGCTGCAGTTTTCCTCCATTCTTATATTCTTATAGAAATTGAGAACCTGAAGAAAGTCATCAGGGGAATGTTTTTATGATACTGTATCTTCCTTTAGTATGAAAGATAATTGAAAATTGCTCCTTGATCTCACAATGTACTGAGAAAAAGGACCACTATACCTCCAGCACTTTTTTTTTTTCTCCTTCAACAAGTCAGCCATCTCCCTCCGAGGCAGGGTGACCCAAAAAGAAAGAAAATCCCGAAAGGAAAATACTTTCATCATCATTCAACACTTTAATCTCACTCATACATAATCACTGTCTTTACAGAGGTGCCCAGATACAACAGTTTAGAAGCATATATAAAGGTATATGACGTATACCTTCAAACTGCCAATATCCCAAACCCCTCCTTTAAAGTGCAGGCATTGTATACTTCCCATTTCCAGTACTCAAATCCGGCTGTATAAAAATAACCGGTTTCCCTGAATCACTTCACTAAATATTACGCTGCTCACACTCCAACAGCTCGCCAAGTCCCAAAAACTATTCGTCTCCACTCATTCCATTCATTCCTGTACTCTTATGTGTTCAGAACATGTGCACTTAACCCAGATGGCAAATAAATTACTATCAGAAAAGTTTAAAGTTTAGATTTTTTCTTAGTTTAACAA